CCACAGGTCCAAATTCCCAGTCCCAGGCTGGTTAGGGGAAAGAAGTGGTAAGTATTGGCAGGAGTGTGAAGAACTGACGCAGAAAATCAGGCAGCCATTGTGGGCAACAGTTTGGCATGTGGGTGTCAAAAGGCTAAATACAGAATCACTATTTGATCTAGCAACCTCAACCCTAGTATAATACACATCCAAGAGAAATGAAAACATGTCTATAAAAACTTGTATGTGACTTATCTACAGCAGCATTATTCATAGTTCACAGTAACCAAAAAGTAGATGTAACTCAAACGCCATTCAAGAATAATGATAAATTGTGGCAGATCCATATAACAGATATTAGCTACTACGGCAATAATTATCAATATTTGCACTACCACTTATCCTCAGTAGGAACAAAGTACTGGTACATGGAACTTTGTGGATAAACGTCAAATTTTTACCTAAGTGAAAGAAGTAAAATCCCCAGAAGCACTGTCCAGACAGAAAGTATATTAGTGGTTCCCAGGAACAGGAGGGTGGGGGCACAGGGATGGGTTTCCCTCTGCACTGATGAAAATGTTTGAGCCTTTACAGAGGATAGCTGGTCTGTATAGGAAGTACTAAATGTCACTGAAATGTGCGCTCTTGCAAATGGTTTACTTTATGTTATGTAATTTCACCTCAACCTACAAACAAATCTGTAGCCAGGAATTCATTTAGAGCTTCGTCTTTATGGCAGTCTTTGTGTACCACAGCCAGTCCCTTCCAGTCTAGATTATCGACACATACCATAATTTAATGCACAAAGCTGCTGTGCTAGCAGGTGAGACTGCAGGCACCTGACCTCCTGTTTTGTTCTACTTTAAGGCTTGTACAGCAGCTTCTCTCCTCCACCTTCCTCTACTCATCCTGATAGCTCTGATGAACATGCACATCCTCCACCTTCCCCTACTCCATCCTGATAGCTCTGATGAACATACGCACACCACCTTTCATCCAAAATGACAGGACAGGAACTCTCATCAACTTGCTCACACTAAGACTTGTGAGTTGTTTTTTTGTTTTTTTGTTTTTGGTTCTTTGAGACAGGGTTTCTCTGTATAGCCCTGGCTGTCCTGGAACTCACTCTGCAGATCAGGTTGGCCTCGAACTCAGAAATCCACCTGCCTCTGCCTCTCAAGTGCCGGAATTAAAGGTGTATATCTCCACTGCCCGGCTTAAGACTTGTGAGCTTTAAGCGGCTGCTTGGCCTAAGAGTCACCTTTATCAGCAAGACACAAAGTCCCCTTGTTCTGACAGTAATCTCTGAAAGCTCTTCTGGCACCTTTGGCTTTTACCCTTTTCAGTCCACCTTGCCTTAGCCCCCACACTGTTGCTTGACCTCTAAGGTGTTAGTAACACGGGTCCTTTCCAGTCTTCTTTTCCATTTCTAGGTTTTCTCTGTTTATAACACAAAGCATTACAGATTTCCATCAGCTTTCCCTTTGACCTTGCTTATAGTTAAGGAAAGAGTGGTACAGTAGTGCCAACCATGACACTCAGAAGCATAAAAATGGTTTAAAAAAGGCATCATTTCTAAGTGAATCCTAATTCTACCTAAAGGAAACAGGAAGGGCCCACAAAGGGGAAACTGTATGATTTTCTGCCACAGTCACCTTTACTAATACCTTCTCTACAACCAGATATGAAATCAAACCTCTCACACCTTTTAATGGACCTAGAAACAGCTCTCTTTATAGGAAAAGATGACTTCCCCTAAGGAATCTGAGTCAAAAGTAAGCATTTTCTGAGGAACAATATGCCCCTAGCACTATGACCACAGTCAAAGAGCACAGTGCCCAACAGACTTCAAGAGGCTAGCCAGATGCATCTGGTGTTAAAAGAACTCGTGCATTTGACACTATGCATACATCATTAGTAAACATGTGGTCAAATTAATGTTATTAATAAGTTCTTGGTCTATTTCAATGTAAACATGGTGAGCTATAAGATTCTCCTTCCTCTAAGCCTTCCCACACTCTCCATTAAGTCCTTGCTTGCTGCAGTTCTCTCTCTGGAGGGCAAGTCATGGAGGAAAGGAAGCAGGCTTCTGTCTTTCCTTCAGGGAAAGCCTTGCTCCTGAGCAGCACCTCCAGCTGAGTAGTGGCATGTCTCACCCACCTTTGCACACGTGTCCATGGGTGGACAGGTGACCTGGTTATTCCCTGCAGACGAGACCCCTGGTTTCCCACAGGTCCTCCAGTGCCTAGGTCCATGCATGCTATGTCTCTTCACACACTGTCCAGGCCTCTGGCTGCTCCCCTTTCACATACACGTTTCTCTTCTTCAATCACCAGTTCCTTTTACAGAAAGGCTTTACTCTCAGCAGGGATTATCTTAAACCACAACCAGAATTGTGGATTGTCTTAACTCCATTAGATGTCTGGTTTCATGTCCATCTATGGTGTTGACACAGACTGTGCAATCTCCTTCTGTGAGCCAGAATGGGTCCACTCCCCTCTGGATTCTCATCTAGTGTCCCCCCCTTCAAGGTTCAGAAGCCACTAGAAACCCAACATAAAGTTCTCAATGGAAGAGAGAGATGAAGGAAAATATAAAGCTAAAAGAATAAAATACAAAAAAACTTGATTGTTATCTCATTAGAATTGTGGGAGAGACTCCCAAGAAAACAACTCTTATGTCCAGAGTCCATCAACACTCCAAAGGCAATAAAAGGTTTCCAAACAGATTCAACTGGCCTTCCGATCTGGCAGTGTCAAGGATTGACTGTGTTATGGAAGGAAGGTGGAGGGAAATGCAGCACTGAGCCTTCACGCCGACTGCACACTGGGTAACATCATCACCATCAGGACAGAATGTAAGATCTGTCTACTGAAAGGAGTGAGAGACAACCTTAAATTCAGAAGAGCAGACTGTTCATATCTGCACGGATAGAGAGCTAATACAATCCCTCACCCTTTTATAGTTTACCTAGTCATTTGCTTTTTAAATTGCAGCAAACTTCATTTTATTTTCACAATGAATGGTCCAAACCAGCCAGCTGGTTGATACAGTTTGGGACAGGAACCCTGAGCTCTAACTGCCTTGTGGTGCCAGGATCTTCCCCCTCCATCCTCAAGTGCTGGGTTCCAATGGCATGCCATTCAGTGAACTAGCAACAGTGGAGCTGCCAAAGCTACAGAATGACTGACCTCTGGTCTTCTGTATCTCCTAACTTCTTGGGGTACCCAGTAAGCTACCTATTCTGCAAAAGCCCCGCCCCACTCCCCTTCCACAGATAGCTAATTACAAATGAGGAAGAAACAGAACAAAGAGTGAACTGGCTCTACAACAGTCTCCTTCTCAAAGACTGTCCTCTATGATGGTTTGCCACGATCCACCCAACAACAGCTGCTCGTGATAATCAATGTCTGACAGATCAGAGAAAGCCCTTAATGTGTCGCCAAGGGGCAGTTCAACAGATGGCACGATGACTTACAAGCAGAATCATTAATTACAATCTCTTATTAGTCCCAGGGTACAGTGAAAATGTTTCCTCAATGAAAGATGAGCGCTGCAGATAAATGGCCGTCTGCTCCTGCTGATGAAGTTCCCTTTAGGACGACGTGTGGTCAGCGCTGAATCTACACGAGAGCCACAGTACTGTTCAGCGGTCTCCTATCTGCCATACTCAAGCTGGCCAGGCATTTGAAGTCCCCGGCACCTCTAGCCATTACAACTCCCATAATCACTGTAGGGAAGGATATGGTACTGCCTCTCCAGTCAGCTGACTGTAGATGGCGAATGCATATCACTGGAGCTAGCTCAGTATTCCCTCCTCTAGGCCACAAAACCTTCCCCACTGGAAGAAGGGCGGTCTTCCACCCCCTTATGTACTGAGGGGCTCATCGAGGTGTCCCAGTGTCATTATGACACTCTCCAGCTCAGCCCCAGTCAGTCCTTATGTACTGAGGGGCTCGTTGAGGTGTTCCCGTGGTCATTATGACACTCTCCAGCTCAGCCCCAGGCCTCCCTCCCTACTATTTTACACAGAGAAAAAAACTAAAAATAAGCTAAGAAATACAGTTTAACAAGTGGGACAGGAAACCCCAGACAGCCACACTGCTGGCTCTGTTCCTCAGGGACAAGGAGCTAAGCTGAGTTAAGAAGCCAGACAGTGAGGGGACGAGTCTAAACCCCTCCTTGCTGGAGACAATGAGGAACATGGCCTCAACTCAGGAAAAATGGGTTCCTGCCCACCATTTGAGTCAGGCTACATAAGCAAGACTAAACTTTAAAATATGTACAGGTAGGGCACGCAGGCAGGTAACTTACTGGCCTTTACATGTATATATGTCAGAAATAAACTTCAAACAACTCAGATTCCCAAATACAACCAATTAAGTACCTTTTGGTTTTGCTGACCCTTCTGTACCTCAATTTATAATTTCTTTCTTTCTTTTTTTTAAAAAAACACTAAGCTTAGTTTATTTTGGAGAACATTGCTTTTTTTTTTTAAAGATTTATTTATTTATTATATATGAATACACTGTAGCTGTCTTCGGACACACCAGAAGAGGGCATCCGATCTCATTACGGATGGTTGTGAGCCACCATGTGGTTGCTGGGATTTGAACTCAGGACCTCTGGAAGTGCAGTCAGTACTCTTAACCACTGAGCCATCTCTCCAGCCCAATTTATAATTTCTTAACTGTAACACTACACTGAAGCAATTTTAAGATCCTAAATGCAATGACTAAGAAGCCCCTGTTTTCACAATCTGAGTTTTTCTTTCCTGGACATATAAAACATGACTTGGACTTCTAAGGAGGCTCCGGTAATTATGGTTACTGGATTAATGTTCCTGTCTCACTTGTTTTCAGAAGATAAAAAGGTTGATCCAGGAATAACAAGGGATGCAGGAAAGGGGGTTCAGGCAGTCAGATAACAAGGGATGCAGGAAAGGGGGTTCAGGCAGCCAGATAACAAGGGATGCAGGAAAGGGGGTTCAGGCAGCCAGACCTGCCCTGCAGTGTACTCACTTCTAGCTTTTTCTCTTTTTCTGACAAAACCTCTTTCTGGTTCTGGGTGTACTCCACCAGCATTCGAGCCAGCTGGCGCCGGTCTTCCAGTTCTGCTGCCAGGCGCCCGTTATATTCCGCTAGTAACAGACATGCTTCATCTACTGTTTTTGAAAGACGTTCAGCTGCCTCTTTGTCTGAATACAAATAAGAGCAGAAAACAGAGACAACATACAAATCACATAGGTATGATTGCAAACATTCCTGAGAGAAGGTTCAGAGTCCAAGAATAAAGCAGAACATGTGAACAAACAATGCTGGCTAGCCAAGAATCCAAAGGCACCAACTCTGTCAGGAGATGCAGCTCTGAACAGCCTGAAGTGAGGCAACTGGATGGGGCAGGAGCATCCAGCAAAAGCTCCCCAAACAAAACCAGCAGAAAGGTACTCAGAGTCATCTGTGAAGAGATTTCTCTTGCCTCTGAGAAGATGAAGTGCGTTTGCTTATATTACTACATTAAGAATACTCTCCCTACTGTTCGGAAGAAACAGAGTAAGCACTCATGTCTTAGGTGTACAGAAATGGAGAGAAAACAGAAGTTTTGTGAGAGCTTCAGAATGTGGTCTCAGAAGCTGAGCTGCAGGACTCTGTTCACCAGAGAAAGAGAGGCTAAGCCTAGTACCTGGGAACAAGCTTGTCTCCCACACTTGGAAAAAGCAGGGCCTTTCAAATGTATGTAAACATGACCCTCGGTAGAAGCAGTTTGTAAAAACACAAATGAGTGGCAGTACCATGTATAGTGGCTCACACTCATAGGAGGGCTGTCAGCAATTCCAGTCAGCCTGGGTTACATAGAAAGATCAAAAGAGAGATGGGAAGGAGAAAAAAATAGCCTTTTCTTACTATGTCTTATATTTTCAAAGTGTTGGTCATCATGGACCGAATTGATTTCATGTCTAAATAATGGCTTCACCTACAAGTTGGGGAGAGAAAAAGAACAAACAAAGTGTAAGAAAGGGTATCCTTGGAAAGAAGTGGTAAACAAAGGCTGGTATAGCGAATAAGCAAAAACAAAGAAGAACTTAGATCCATAAAGAACTGCTGTACTGTGGGGGTGGCAGAAGTCTAAACACATGCATCTTGCACTAAAAGGTCTTCGGGGGGCTGAAGAGATGGCTTAGTGGTTAAGAGCACTTACTGCTGTTGTAGAGAACATGGGTTTGGTTCCTAGCATCCACATCACCATCCAGAGGGCCCAATGTAATCTCGACACCTCCTTACATGTAAGTGGTACATATAAATTCATGCAGGTACACATATTCACGTAAATGTTAAAAATAAATACAAAAAGGTCTTTTGGGTGGAAATAGCAAGTTGATGCTTTGAAACAAAGGGCACCAGAGCTGCCTGCAGTTACACAGACAATTCGGTGACACAAATCTGAGAGCCCTCAGCATTTTTCAAGGCAGGGGAATTTAGGAATTCTAGCATAGAACAGCCATCTGGTCCTTCCTTGCCTCTATGAACACCAGGAAATGAGCTGCTTAGGGCTCCCTAACTGGGACCTATGCCAAAGATCAGGCTTTGGCATCAGGGTTAGAGAACAACACACACTTGGGAGTGAGTGAGCAAGATAAGGTGGGACAAGGGACTATGCCAAAGGGCAGAGGACCAATGCAGTGCTCCAGACTGGCAGTGCTGCCTGGGAATAAGCTTGAGTGTGGCTGCTTTCAGCTTGGTCAGTCCTTGACTACTGATCTCTTTATAACAGTAATTAAGATGTTAAAGTACCTGTGGAAAAAAATGGTAAAAAACACCAATTTTTAAGAGATAAGATTTTTTAAAAAGTCAATTCTCACCCTCAAGAACGTGTATAAGGAAACCAGATCATTTATACAAGAAATTGCAACCCAGAAACAGATTTTATCACTCAAGAATTACACAAAGCTGCACTGGGCTGGAAATGAGATCAATCTTGCTCAGCCACCATCAAAGAAGCTTCCTCCTGTAGGAGAACTTAAACAGACGCACACTGGACAACGTGCTGAGAGTGAGAGACTTTGGAACACCCAGGTCTAAATGGGATACCTTCATCGAATCCTTTCCCTCAGGGCCCAGAGAGCCAGTGGGGATGGAGGACACCAATGAACAGTGTCTTCCGAACATGACAGGACCAAGACACAGAGGAACTCAGATTGAGACAGCATGCACTAGACTACACAGGTCCAAGCCAGACAGGCTCCAGTGCTGAGACAGGAAGTAGACAAGAGCCCTGATGCCTAACTACCTCCAAGTGTCAAATGCTTGCAAAGAAAATAGTTCCTCCAATGGAATCCCACTGGACAAATAAACCAAGCTACATTTAAGGGCAGACCCCATGCCAAGTAGTAGATGGCTAACACAAAACATATTTAATGGTACTTTAGAAGATGTTCTGTCTTGAAAAGCTTTGTTTGGGTAACTTTTATCTATTTTACTGGTCTTTGCTTATATATTATGGTTTCTGATTTTCTGTTTTTTATAGGTTTTGTGTGTCTGTGTTCTTATGCTTTTCCCATTTTTTGTTTTTAACCTATTATTATTATTATTATTATTATCATTATTATTTTGGGTTTTTGAGATAGGGTTTCTTTATGTAGCCTTGGCTGTCCTGGAATAAGTTCTATAAACCAAGATGGCTTTGACATCATAGCTCTCTAGTGAAAATTCTGGAATTTTTGGTTTGTTTAAAAAAAAGAGCAGAGTTCAAGCAGCTCAAGGGGATGGAGGGGAAATGACCTGTGGAAAGAAAGGGATGAAAGGATTGGGCTTTCACAGAGACAAGACTGTGATCTTGGCCAAGATATCTAACTTTACAGAGTCCAAATCAATCCCTTCCTGCACATGAGAATCCAACCCTTCAGAGACTCATGAGGCATACACAGAGTTCTGCACAGCGCATGTTCTTTAAGACTGGTTCATCCTTCACCCCCTTCTTCAACTGCTGCTGACTTGGGAGTGACTGCGATGAGCTCAACGACACACCTACAAGTCCTGACTCTGAACCGCCTTCAGGCTTGCCAGTGTGTAATACATCAGACAACATAGCCATGTGCATACGTTTCTGCTGGCAGTTCGTGGTCCAGCCCTTCCTGGCCTCCACTGCCCCACATACACATAACTTACCCTGAGTTGTTGATCTTATTCAGAGAGTGGTGGGCTATGGCACCCCAGCATTTCTGCTCTAACTAGTCAAATCACTACTCAGTTTGTTTCAAAATCTTCTTTTCGCTGTGGTTTACTATTATCTATTTAAATTTTTTGTTTGTTTCTTATTTGTATGAGTGTCTATCTGCATGTATGTAAGCTGTGTCTGGTGCTGAAAGAGGCCAGAAGATGACATCAGACAGCCTGGAACTGATGTTAAGAGTGGTTAAGCCACCATGTGGGAGCTGGGAACCAAACCCAGGTCCTATGAAAGGGCGGTAAGAACTCTTAACCACTGAGCCATTTCTCTGGCCTCAAGATTTATTTGTATTATTTATATTTATATTTATATATGTGTGAGTATATACAAGTATGCTGCATGTGTGAGTACCCATGGAGGTCAAGAGTCCATCAAGCACCCTGATCTGTAGTTAGAGGTGTTGTTAGCTGCCCAACGTAGGTGTGTGAAGTGAAGCAGGAACTGCTCCCAATGTGGAGCTCCCTGGCCAGCCCCTCCGAGAGCTTTCTTGTTTAGCCTGTGAATGGCTTCACACACCAAGATGGCAGAGTACCCAACATCACATAGACAGTCTCTCCCTACAGACATTAGCCTGACTCTAGACAGCAACTTCTTTCTAATCTTTCACCTAAACTACCTTCTCACCTGTAATCTTTTCCAGCAGCGACACATCTTGCACTTCCTGGGGCAGGGAAGCAATCTTCTGTCGAACAGTAGCGTCCCCTGATGCTGCATTTTCCAGATCCTGCAGAGCTTTGATTAGCTCTTCAGTCTATAAAAGACAAAGACAAATAATATTATTCATTAAGACATAAAGGGGTTAAAGAAAAACAGCCAGAAACAAATGATTGAAGTCATCACTCTTAGCATTAAGAACAAGCTGAGAGTCACACAACTGCTGTTGTTCCAGGACTTCGTGGATGGAAATGACATGGACTCTAAATGACATAAAATGGTTTTAAGTCTACAAACACATAAATGAACCTCTACAGAACTCTGTTTAAAAAAATTAAAGAGCATATTTTTGGCAACTTAAGAATATGGATTCTAGCTCATGCTGCTTAATTTCAAATGAAGCATTATTTACAGTATAAAAGTCTCTAATATGGAAAGAAGACATAAATGCCAGATGCTGAACAGCTGTATGTTGGCTGATTAAGTTCTTTCTAGAGTTTGCTTTACAACATAAAAATCCCTGCCAATATTAAAATGTCAAATAAATTAACTCATTAAGAGTTAAAAACAAGAAAAGCATATCCTATATCTATCAAAGGGTTCTACCAAACCAGGAGAAGGCACAGGGTGTTGATGAGTGGCAGAGCACAATGACCTCAGGACAGCTGGCTTGGGAGGCAATAATCAGATTACCTGAACGCTGATCAGCCACACTCTTCTCTTCACAGGTTTCAGATGCAAAGATCTGACCTAACACTGCTATTACTTAATCCTGGCTAATCCCATCGTTTTAACACTACATAGCACACATGTGCACATGCATGCACACATGTACTCATGTGACCTATTTACCTATCCTATGTCCTGACCATGCATGATCATGCAGAATACAGTTAAGATCAACCCAAGGCAGTCTCAGCCAACAAACAGGGCATGAACAGCCAAGTATAATGGCATACACCTGTCATTCCAGCAATGGGAAGCTGAGGCAGAAGGTCTCACTATATCGCCAGGCTGATCTTGAACTCATAATCCTCCGGCCTCAGACTCCCTAGTACTAGTTGTACAGGTGAAATCTGGCCTTAGCAGGAAGACCTCAAGTTTAAAGCCAGCTGGCATTACACAGTAAGACTCTTTACCTCATAAGGTTAAAAATAAAACAAGAAAGGGACAATGACTCTGAATTATAATAGATCTTAATTCAAATTAAGATACTTGGTAAGTTACTTAAACGCTACTTAATCTGTTTGTTTTGTGGCTCTTTTTCTTTGACAATAAACAGATGAACCAAATCACGCTTGTCTCATGAGGGACTGAGTGAGGCAAATGTATCCTTAAAAACTAACTCCCTGTTGCAATACTTATAACAGAGTACAGTAAACTTACTATCGTGGCTATGAGACTGTCCTTAGATAATAATAAGTTACTTGCTTATAAACAAGACTGCTATTAGCAACAGGCACAGAAAAGTGCCTCAGAACATCTTTATTATGTCCTATACATGTACTTTTAGAGTATTTTTAACTTTTAGAAGACAAATCCAAGTTCAAACATTTTATAAAACATAAACCCATTGTAAAGTCAAAGTACAAAGGTGGGGTGAAGTCAGATGTCTGGGAAGCCTTGAGTGTGCTACTATATCTTCTGCACTTTGACAAGCCACGCTACTGGTCACAGCGCCACCTTGTGGCCATGATCTTAAGTTAAAGATCATTTGGAGTCATTTTGTGCCTGGGGTCACATACCAAGAGGGGACCTGCGGAAGGATCTTGGGGAGAGTAGCTTCCAGGGTAGTCATCATCTTCCTCCTCTTGTATCTGCTGAAAAGTTCGTTTTAGAGACTTCTTCTCTTCTGCTGCTAGGGAAAATAAAGGAACAAGTGTGAGCTGAATGTCCTACCCACATAAGCAAAGACCACAGGCAAAATCGGGGGGGGGGGCGGGGGGCCGAGGGGCGTGTTCATTTTCAGAAATGACTTCATGCTTTCTTGATAATTATTTTAAATTGGTGTATCTCCTTATGTTACTGAAGAAACAAAAAAGTTCCCAGTCTGTCATCTCAGATCGACTCTTTGGGTCCAAGGAAATGTTACTGGAAGTGTAATTATCATAATTAGAACGTTCCTCCCTTCAAAAGAAGTAGAGTAAAATGGTAAGATGAATGAGGCAATACAACAAAGTAAAGCAACTGAGAAAACACACTGCACATGAAACAGCTTTATGCTTTCCAAGGATCATTGTAGAAAATAAACAGGAGGGAGAGATTCATCAATTAAACTGTCAAAGATTTCAAGTACAAGTACCCTTTAAACTCTTTCTCTAAAACCAGAATAAACCTAATTTTACTATTACTAAAAAAAACCCTATTATTTACTTAAAAAAAAAACCTATTATTGAGAAATGTGATTGTACTACTGGAAGAAATTATTTACATTTCCATTCTAGAATTAACTACTTTTGAAGCTGGCAAGTTGCATTCTTTATTGTCTGTCTGTTCCCCGTGCTTTTACATGATTATGATAGATGTGTTAATTCTAAAATCATTTCTATTACATCACATTGGGCAACACAAAACAGGCACAAACAACTGAGGGAAATAAATCTAAATGATAAATCTGCATTTAACAGAGATATTGGACACCAAGTATGTGCAGCACATTGCAATGCTTTCTTTCCAACAATTTTGACAGAACATTACATTACAAGAGGAAAAAGACCCAGGGAGGTTAAACAACTCTCTGGCATAACAGCCTCCCCAGTACTCTTTCCACTGTATACAAGCAACTAAGTACAAGTACGCTTATCTGTCAAAAAGGGGGTACCAGGCACCCGCCATGAAACTTGCTGCATGTACAGAGTAACTCCCCAGGAAGGTGTGCACATGCTCACCTAAGCCTCTTCTGGAACCAAGGATGTAGTGCCTGTTTTCTATCTTACACATTAATTAGCTAAGTTGTGTCAGGAAGACCAGGCAATAGCATGAACTGCTTTTCTTTCTTATGGTTTTGCTTGTTGGAGAGGAGAAACTAAGCAGCCACATCTACGATGGAAGCTTTTCTTCACACACACAACGCTACTACAGAGGGAGGTTAGGGAAATGGGTTCTCGGCAACACAGGTCTCACTGCCAGCTCTATGACTCGGAGTCCTGGCATAAAGTGATTGTTCTAATATTTCAGTTTCCAAATCACAAATCAGTAACCAATCACTCCCTTTCTGCAACGTCTGTCAGTGACAGAAGCCATCTGACATTCCATAACAATAAGTAGAGAATTGGTTCATAACGACGAACAAAGCAGCTGTGAGGAAGCCATGGTGGGACTGAAGCTGAGGGGCACTAGGAGGAGCAGATGCTGCGGGGGAGCCTAGGGATGCCAACTTAGCAGCAAAAGTGAACAGAGGGTGATGGTGGAAGAAGTGACCCCACAAAAACACTTGACACTGTAGCAACTTTCAGAGTGTATCTAGGGACAAAAACTTGCAATCTCAGCTGGACAAAACTTTGAGACAATTTAGAGTTCGAGGCCAGTCAGGCCTACACAGTAAAAGATTCTGCCTCAAAATAAAGTAAAAAGTAAATAAATAAAAGTAAAAAGAGGCCAGGCAGTGGTGGCGCACGCCTTTCATCCCAGCACTCGGGAGGCAGAGGCAGGTGGATTTCTGAATTCGAGTCCACCCTGGTCCACAGAGTGAGATCCAGGACCGCTCGGGCTATAAAGAGAAACCTTGTCTCGAACCCCCCCGCCCCCCCCAAAAAAAAAGTAAAAAGAGGATGTTAGTTCACTGGCAGAACACTTGGCTAACACATGATTTTGATCATCCAGGCCCTGAGAAGACAAGAGTGAGCTGCCAAGATCAGAATACTCAGGGACTCTACTGAGTGTGACTTTAAGAGATGAAGGGGAAGAAAAACAATCTTTAGACAAATGACACCAGTACATGTTACTACTAGCCTGCAATCAAAATTCAAACCCCAAAAGAGCCATTTCCATCGCTGCCACATCTGTGACGGCTCCCTGGGGAGCACAATCGTTTTTTACTCCTCTGTGCTCTTTTCCAGAGCACCCAGCACGGCCCAACATACATGTGTAGTAATGTCTGAATGGACACTCCAACATAGGTTTCAAGCTTCCTTTAAGGCAAGAGATCCCCTGCTTGCCTCAGGCACTACTGAATGACATGTAGAGTACAGGCAAAAACACTGGATATTTTCTCAAAACTGTAGAGTGATATTCCCAAGGCTGCAATGCTGTCACTAGTGTAACCCAAAGCAGAAAACAGCTTGCTTTTCAGGATTGTTTTTTAGCAGCTTTAAGTAAAACAATGGCCCAAAGCCTCAAAAGCACTTTCTAACACATGATCAAAATCATGTGTTAGAAAGCCTCTTCCAGTTCACTGTAAAGGAGATGTAATTCTAGACCTGGGAAAGACTGTGAAGAGTACAAATAAAGGGTTGAGTCATGTTATGGTCACCTGTGCTAGTCCTGGGAGGTCAGTCAGCAAAAGTGTGTACACAGTACCAGAGAACAGGAGGGGATGGCTACATGGCCCACAGCAAGGAAGGCTTGGGAGCCAGACTGGCATTCTTTAAGAATGCATTGCCACAAGTGAAAAGGACAGGTTATGAAGACATGCACATGTGTAGAGAAAAAGGACTAGCAAAGCATCTATATAGGACACTCAAAAACTCAGCCTGGCCAAAGAACCAGGAGTATCACTAGGGGATGGGTTGAAAGAAGAATCTCAAAGTGGGCTAGTTCAAATCAGAAAGGCACCTCAAAATGGTTAGTACTCAGTACTCAGACTTGCTCCTTAGCAGTATGTATAAACAGAGTCACGATAGGGTGACAGCTTAGAAGTATGTCATGCCAGCTATGAGTAACCCATGGCTAACCAGACACTGAAAACCAAATATCTGAACTTATTCTTTAAAGAAATAAATAATACAAAGTCTTAAGAACTTTAAAATTCACATATATACTACGTCACAAAGATAACCTGGGTTCAGTAAAGATGAAAATCAATATAGACAATAATCTGATAGTTATCAAAGTATATAAAACCAGACCTATTATTAATAAAGCTGAGTTATAAAAGGGCAAGGGAGTTATCCAAGGCCCTGCTGTGGTCAATGTCAGGGCCAGGACGAAGTACTCTTTACTCAATCACAATTCTAAAAGACTTGGTTGTTTCTTTCCCTGCACAAGGACAGTCCCTTAAAGAGCAAGGAGGACCATGAAGAACACACAGAAAGTGAGGGAGTGCGAGCATGGCGTCATGAGCCCGCTTCCAACACAGCGTAGGTTCTCACCATCGCTCAGGAGCATCCCTCGGAAGTCAGAAAGCGGCTGGTGGACCACAGCAACCACAGCAGTGGATCACAGCCCCCACTGCAGCTTTTCATGCATGGCTGGGAGGAGCAAAGACCAAGAGCTGTAAACATGTGATGATGTTTCTACCTTTTGGGGGAGGGCTCTTGGAGTCCTCCATAGACAGCTTCAGCTGCTGTATGAACTCGCCGCCATAGACACTTCGTTCTTGCCAGATGTTCAGCAATCTTTCTAAAGGTTTTTTACAGCCTTCGTCTGCCTCTCTGCCCAGAAAACATGAAAAGATAGATATATATAAGCTTAAATTTTTTGTTATTAATTAGGACAGATTTACTTTAAAACAACAACAACTGCCAACATGATTTACACACTTAAAACAAAAATATGCTCTGTGCGCCTTGGATGCTCAGTCCTGAGGGAAACGACATTCCTCCTGTGGTGAGCGGGAAGAGGCATCCAACAACCCAAGGAATCTTTTTCCCCTTGGCAAGGTGGAAGGAACAGGGGAGAAAAAAAAGCCTATATGACTGGTTTTAACAGCCAGAAAATATAACAAAACAAAACAAACAAAATTGACCATATTGATTTTGACTCCTTGGCTTTTTAGAAGACATCAATTTAAATACAATCCTATACATTAAAATTAGTCAAAGCTTTAAGATTTTAAAAGCACAAGTGTTTAAATTCACTACATTAATATCCCACACCCCTACATGCATAAATACGTGCATACAATACATACGTGCCAAGTGCCTCACCATAACAACTGATAATGACCTTAACACTGGACTTAGCCTGAGATCTGTGTTAACACTCATGTATCTAATGGATAATCTTGGAAAGCTCTGGAAATAATGTAGTCCTTTGTCATCAAGTCAGGTAATCTTTTTCTGGTATGTAATATCTGAGAGGGCAGCAGGCGAGAAAGACAAGACTTTCTGAAGAGAGGCCTCTGCCACCTGTGTGCTCCCAGGTGCTATTTAGTGAGACTGCATAAAAGCCAACATCTTAACACTGAGCACCTTAAGAAGGGATACCTTAAGACTCACAAGATTGCTCAGCAAGTAAATAAGCTTGCCTCCAAGCCTGACAACCTGATTTCTATACCTGGACCACACAGTAAAAGAAGAGAACTAATTCCTGCAAAGTTTTCAATGACCCCTACAAGTAGGCCATGCTTCTTCCCAAATAAATAAATTAAAACATAACTTTCAAAAGTGAGAGACCTGAGCTATTGCTCAGTTGGAAAAACGCTTGCCTAGCTCTGGGCCCATCCCCAACACTGCACCCCAGCACTTGGGAAGGGAAGGCCAGAGTATCAGAAAGTCACGGTCATATATCCTCCGCTTCAGTGAGTTTGAGGCCAGGCTCAGATATATACGAGTATGCCAAAAAGGGGAGGGGAAAAGACCTCCACATCTTAGGGTTGAAGTCAAATATCTTTACTAACAACATCAAGAATACCAAATTCAACAGACAGGAACTCTACCCACCCTCAGCACTGACTTCTGTGAAGCTTATGCTAACACTCAGCCTGGTCCTATTTATAAATTACTAGTAGCAAGTCCACTAAACTGAGATCAAAGTACTAAGCCAGGAAATGTATAAGTTAATTTTTTTTTCAACTCAGAGGTAAGTCCTAGGGAAATGGAAACCCTTCTGCTACATCTTAAAGAGCTCAGCTATAAGAAGCACTCTGGGTTTATGCTAAGACACTAACTCTTTCTTCACAGTGAGTTACTCTCACCTTCTCCTCTACCAACAACCTGGTCCAAGGGGCAGCCATTTCCACTGGCTTCTCCGATAGCCTCATTATATCTCTCCCAGCTTCCAGCCCTGCCCGCCTACTATCTACTCTCCAGCTGAATAATGTAATTCTAGTCGCCCTGGAAGGCATCTCTTGTTTCTTTCCATTCTTCTCAGAACAAAGTTCTTACAAAACCTCAAGGCCTTCTGACCTCACCGATCCACTCTGGTCATCAGGCCTAAAGCCTAAGTCAGCTATGTATCAGGTAGCCCTGTCCTTCCCTCCTCTCCAGCAGCACTTCTCCAGCCCCACAGACTGGCACTTCTTGCTCTGCCTTCATCTGGTTTCACACAACCCATCTCTCACTTGCTGCACAGAACACCTGTTGACCCTTCCCACCTGAATGAAACTTCCCCACAAAAGGAGCTTGTTTTTCCCCCATAAACACCATATTGGCTGAAGCAATCTTTTTTGAAATAAACTTTTAAAATTTTATATAAATATACTTGACTTCCAACTTTTCTGAATCAAAGTAATTCAAGTCACAAATTACTAACCTAACTGGTTTTGGTGAAGTAGATGTCACTGTGGCACCTAAAATCAGATGTGGCTAGAGCAGGAAAGCAGGTGACGAAAGAAGGGGCACTACGTTTTCAGGTCCCACAGATTCCGCTCTACACTGAGAGTTCTTGAGGCTGGGAATGTACATCACTTGGCAGTGTGCCTGCCTAGCATGTACAAAGCCCCGAGTATGATTCCCAGCACTGCATAAACTGGGCATGGTAGTACATGCCTGTAATCCCAGAACTCAAGGGGGAAGGCTGGAGAATCCATTCAAAGCCATTCCTGACCACACGAATTCTTTTAAGGCCAGCCTGGGTTACATGAAAACCTGTCTCCAAAATAAAATAAATAAATAAATTTGTGTATATGAGAACCGTCTAAATGGATAAGAATTTTTAAAATGTTTGCTATTAAGAGGGCTCCATCACACACTCCCTGCTGTGATGCTCTGCCTCCCTGCAGCCCAAAAGAAGAGCTGGCAGCATGACCTGAAACCTTTGCAACCATGAGCCCAGATAGATCCTTAATCCCTTGTTTCTTTCTAGCACTCTTCCACAGTGACAGAAAGCTAAGACAGGAGTGAACCTGGGGATGCGGGTGAGGGCAGGCGTGGGTTCTGGACACTGCTCCACTCCCTAATGATCTGAGTGTCTCACCTGTGTGAACAGCATGGCTCTAAGTGAATGCCTACTTACTTTGCAGGAACAGTGGTAGAAGTAGCCTCCACAAATCTTAGAGAAGGCTCTGGGTGCTGAGTCTCTTCCCACCTCCTGTCACAATTACACATGCACCTTTCCCCTTTGCTTATTTTTCTGTATCCCTGGGTGCAATAAATCCTAACAGCCATGAGACCTTCTAGGAAGTTACCAACCTGGGAGAAGTATGAAGACCCACAAACAACAAGGAATTATCATGTATTTCGCAATGACTCCTAATTTACCTCTCAAGAAACTAAGTCTAGAATCAGAAACTAAGGCCACCAAGCCAGACAACCTGAGTTCAATCCCTGGGACCCACGTGGTGGAAGGTGTGAACCGACTTCTGGAAATTGTCCTCTGACCTCTATGTGTTTGCTGTAGCACATGTACATACACATGAGTGTGTATACACACAAATGAAATTTTAAGTTTTTTTTTTTTTAAAGAAATTAAGGGGGGAGGGGTCCTGGAGAAATGGCTCAGCAATTAACAGCACTTGCTGCTGTTTCAGAGGACCCGGATTAGATTCTGAGAACCCACATGGCCTCTCACAATTGCCTGTAAGTCCAGGTCCAGGGGATCTGATGCCCTGTGTGTGGTCTCTGTAGATACTAGGCCCACATCGGCCATAGTAGGCAAACATGCAGACATAACGCCCATATACATGAAATAACAAAAATTAAAGTTTCTGTGAACTTTAAACTAGTTTACCCATATGTCCACCCATAATTACCCCTTGGAACATCTAACCAGCCATCTCAAACTTAACATGGCCAAAACAAATCAAAAATCATTTCCTCCATCAAATCTCCCCAGGCTTCAGTTCAGATCAGCCATCTACTTACACTAAAAATTTCTCTCTTCCCTCAATACCAGGACCCATTTCATTTCAAGGACTCATGTACATTTTACAAGGGAGCAGACTCTGACTACAAAATTCAATAAATGGAGAGAGCACCTTCTCACTGCCTGTCTCAACCCATCTCACCTTAGCCAACACCACAGGAACACTCCTTCTGAACTCAGGCTTCCCTGCCCTTCACAACCCATTCTCTACACGAGCCTTTCACATCTAAGGTTTGCAACTCATGTGCGCATGCATGTGCATGTGTGTACTGTTCTCCACCTTACATATTGAGACAGTGTCTCTCAAGTGTGCCCAGAAATTGCTGATTCAGCTAGCCTGCCCTTTATCCACCGAGTCAACCTAATAGAGAACCCTTTAAAAAATATTAATTTGCCAGGTGGTGGTGGTGCACACCTTTAGTTCCAGTACTTGGGAGGCAAAAAGCAGGCATACCTCAAAGCCAGCCTGGTCTACAGAGTGAATTCCAGAACAGCCAGGGCTACACAGAGAAACCCTGTCTCCAAAAACCACAAACAAACAAAACAAATAATAAAAATAGAAATATTCTCTACAATAAAAAGATATATAAAAAGATATATATCACGTTATCATACATTAGAATAGTTGACTAAAAAGAGATACATCTGCTAATGTAGTGATTTTTTTTTTTTTAGGTACAATTTTTACCAAAAGTGCTCACTCATGATTTTACAAATGGTTAAACTTTTCATGACCTGTCAATGGTAGCACAATTAACAAATGGATTAAGAGGGGGAAATCCTAGTTATATGGTTAGGTTTTTTGTTTTGTTTTGTTTTGTTTTCTCTCTCTCATCTTACCTGGGCTTTTTACAGTGTTTATGGGAATTTGACTGACATCCTATCAGAACAGACTCCCAGGGACTATAGAGCTAGCGCTCGCTCTCTCACGCTCTCTCTCCCTCTCTCTCTCTTCCTCTCTCTCTCCCTCTCTCTTTCTCTCTCTCTCCCTCTCTCTCTCCTTCTCTCTCCCTCTCCTTCTCCCTCTCCTTCTCCCTCTCCTTCTCTCTCTTCCTCTCTCTCCCTCTCTCTCTCCTTCTCTCTCCCTCTCCTTCTCCCTCTCCTTCTCCCTCTCCTTCTCTCTCT